AATATTTGGACTGGGTATTACAGCTTTTTCCTAAATGCTCAAACGTGTGATAAGGTGTGTTGTAACTCGGGAGTTTATGTGCCCCTAAAATTGAAAGATACAAGGTAAATCAAAATGGTTGTGGCCTCATAAATGTGTAAACAATATAACAACAGGTTAAAGACAGATAACTGCATCTGATTTTTAGCAGCCAATCGGAGAATTTGACAGGAGTGGAACTTTGCTGCGAAAATTGAGGAAACTGAGAAACGAGGTGTCATTAGGTCCCTTGAAAAGAGCATGTCACCAAAGGAAATATACGAACATACGAAATGTATGCTTGGGGATGACATCCCTTCATGTTTAACTTTTCAAGAAATGGCTGTTGAATTTAAGAGAGGCAGAAGAAGCACAGAAGATTAAACTGGGTCTGGTCGTCCTATAGATACCACGTCTTAAAGTCGAGCATTGACCAATGTGTTACAATTCACCTTATCACTGGCATTAATGGAATCAGTTCTGGGTCACTACAGTCAATCTTAACTAACACGCTGACGAAAGTTGTCAACAAAAAAGTACTCAGAATGTTAATATCAGATGAGAAGATGACCCCACTGATCCAGGGACGTTTTGGCCATTCGTAAGCAGAATACTTAAAAACCCTTGATGCGAATTCAAACCCAGGGTCATCAGAACAAGGGTCATCACTTCTAGCCACAATCACCACTTCGGAGCAAACAGTGGAAACATTTGGCCACACCCCAACCAAATAAGTACAAGCTCGTGTAGTCATGAGAGGTATCAGTAAAGGTGTAATCACATGCAACGAGGCCAGACTATCAACAGGAAATACTATGCAAAAGAACTACAAATGTTGAGAGAAGCAATCACGGAAATTATTCAGATGTGCTACCTGTGCACACATAACAAGTGACAGTGGCTGCAACTGCAGATTGTGGCTTTGAACTGATGAACGATGATGAAGACTTCTCTTGGGCAGGGATAACACAGAAGGAGCATCGCTGGACCCTGTGCAATGAACTCACAGTAAAAATAGAAAAGTTATGTGAGAACAATTTTCATTGAGAGGCCTAGAACTTTACGACTCTCCGGTTTTGAGATCTTAATATTTAAAAGGTTATTTGATGCCGAATAAATAAACATGTATATCGTGAGAGCAGTGAATATGCCGTGAACAATTGTATAGTAACACTGGGGTACGTGCAGTTTAGGTCCCAACATCATGCTGCCAACTTTGACTGTTTGTAGACAGTAATTAGCAGTGTCTTAACTTAAAGTATAAAAAAGTACTGCTAACAGCTTCAGTAGCAGAGCCATAAGTTATGTCATTTGATTGTGACGTCATGGTAACCAATGACGTCACAATGGTCTGCAAAGCATTGTGATGCAATTTCATTTCATCGCTTGATCTCGACCATCGATTTCACCTGTGGGAGCCAGTTTGGGATGATAAATAGATTTCAACACACATAAGTGGAATAAATAGACTCAGTCCGATCGCATCGATTGATATGCATGGTCCACTGATCATATAATAGCAACAACGTTACACCTACAATGTAAACGTTTGTTTCCGTTCGGTAATGCATATTGCAGAAAGCAGCCAACGAGTTCGACAGCAACACAAAGGTTGCTCTGCTTGTTCATGGAAAGACATTTCGTCTGACAGGTATCTACGTCATCAGGTGTTTCAGAATCTTAAGTTTGCAGCCAATTCGAACTCTGACGACTCTTGTTTACAATGAAGTAGCATTTATCTATCAAAGTACTTGTAAACAATTTCAACAAAATGCTATATGTTCAGTTCTAATTGTGTTTTCACACAATCTCAGTTCATCCCCGTTTATGAACTGACTTATGTCTGACAGAAGCGGACCCGAGACAGTGTGTAACCAGCGTCAGCAGTTTTGATGTTTATTTGTGTAATAATCCAATGTCAAATCTTCCAGTTGAGTTTTTAGTTATAATATCAAAAGTTCATATCGATTTATGCAAAGTCAGAGTGAGCTTATGTTGAGTGTCTTTGTCCGTAGTCCGTCTGTCAATCTGTCCAACTATTCAGCACTGAACTAAAATCTAAAACCTGTTCTCTCCAAAAAATAGCAATATCATTTTCTTAAAAAACATTGTACATTTTATAATAATTTCAGTGAAACAAACAACCTTCTTGTCAATTACTTCAAATCAGTTGCAATTGGACATGTTGTTTATGGCTGCCACTGCTTTATCCACCTTAACTAGAAGTGAAGTGGAGAAACCACCTCATCTGTTTCATATTTAGATCTATGTATAAAGATTCAGAGTGACAAAAAAAAATATCCAAAGTTTGTATGATAAGAGTGACTACTTCAACTTTCCAATAGTCAACTTTCAATTCATGAGAAGCATTTCTCCAACAATCTTTGGGTCGACAATTCACAACTATTGAGAAGTAATCGAGAATGCTCAATCGATGATGTCAACTAGCGTCTTGCTCAAAAGTTGTTTGATCAGTTTCCATCACTCAAAGTTTTATATATAAGTTAATATTAAAATTTTAAGTTATTTCCAAATATCCCATTCTTTGAGAATAGATATGATTAAACTGAGCGAACAAACCTAACGAGGAGCAAGGTGATTTTTTTTACAACAAGTGTGCACTGTTTGTCGTCATCTCCTGTGACAATCGGCTAGGGTCAAATAACACCTCTAAAATCAGCCCCCGGGATACAGTTCACTTTATACTTGCCTGTGTCTATATAGTTGTCATAAATCCCAAATATGAAAATGTGTACACGTCTAGTTCTCACACGTCTGATAACATTCATAACAATTTCTAATAGGTTTGCTCAATTCCTACATATTGCAAATCTGGTGGGTCGAAAAGGGTCTTATACTACCTCGTTCCTTTTTTTTTAATCTGTACTATTTTGTTTATATTACGGTGAGGAATAGTCATTAGAGTTTGTGTGTGGGTGTTAGGGGTGGGGGTGGGGGTGGGGTGTGGGTGTGGGGTGTGGGTGTGGGGTGTGGGGGGTGGGGTGGGGTGGGGGGGGGGGGGCATTGATCAACATTAATACTTTGTAACTGTATTTTAATAACTGTCAAAGTCATAAGTACCTGAAGTTTGTGAAATGAAATCATTATTGGTCGAGATAACAAGAAACACAAAAAACAAACTTCATCATATCTCCATTTCTCCATACACGTTTTTAAATTATCCAGCTCGTTGACTGTCTTGAATCTTGACTTCTACACACTGCATACACCTCATTCCAGGTATGCGAGTCCTTGTACAGTGTGTAGAGCTTCCCGACATGTATGTGAAGGATATACTCTGGAAAAAAGATTACATGTTTCCCTAATTTGGCTGTACAGTTAAATCACCCACCCTACAGCCCAGACTTAGCCCACAGTGACTATTTCATGAAATCTGTCCTACGTGGAAGACGCTTCCAGGATGACGTGGAATAAAGGCTGCCACAGAGGCGTGGTGAGAGGGCCAATCTGCGGATTTCTATAAAAGTGGTATTAAAAGCTTGAAGGACAAATGGAATAAGTGTATTGAGGTGAATGGAGATTATATTGAAAAATAAAAGTGCAAAAGATATTCTGCGACTTGGTCTTAAATCGAACCTATTGAACGACCCTCGTACATTTGTCGTGTGTCAGGTAAAGATCATGTCGGACAACGCTCAATATATGACCTTGTAATGTGTTTCATATGCATGTTGAGTGAGAGTTTAATGGATTCTGAATAGTTTGATATGAGTTTTCACGTTTTTTATTTAAACATGAAACAGTGTGTTTTTATTCAAGTATTAATTCTCTTATGGGTAATTCTACTTTTTTACAATTCCTATTTTAATAAATGGAGGTGTCATATGTCATATGGAAGTAAGCATCAAATAAAATTGTTTATGAGAGGGACTATCTATAATAACTTTTTTTTCAAAACTGCATGTGATATGCGTGATATGACACGCCACGTCGAACAAATGTTTTACTATAATGTCATGTGTTATAATGTACAGGTTAAACTGTCAAATACACACGAGTGTGTTGCTCCTACAGAAAGCTGTTAGTACAATAGACACGATAGAAAGAGTGTATTTCAAGTTTGACTGTGACATCATACCTTTCTGTATCACCATATGCAATGTGACGTTATAATATTGACATGCAGTGTAAAACGAAATCTTAACTTATTGAATACTTGTGCTACATACTGTCATTGCCTGTCATAAATGCGAGCAAAATATTATGTGATATTAATGGAAGATATACTGCGCTATACTTATTTTAAAGAAGTATATCTTTGTTTCGTTAATTCATGTCGACAACCCACTAGACCTATTAGCTTCACGTAATAGCTTCCCGGTGTGGTACTGAAGAATTAACTGCCTTTAATTGAACTGTGAACTAAACGTGCATCTCTTCACTTTACACGCTGCATATGTTATGACATTGTCTCAAACCAACCCATTTGTGTTCTATTGTACTGAGGTAGAACATGCGACAGACACAATCATTACCCATGACGACTTCCATGAAGCGGTTTCTTCTGCGATTGTGATCTTCTATTATTAACACATCTTTCTTGATCTACTTCCAAGTAGCACTGAGGGAAAAGCAAACCTCTTATGCTGGATCTGCTGTAAACGTAAAATGTCAAGCCTTTTGACCAATGGTATGTGAGATTAGGGCAAAACACGTCCATGTGCATCCAAGCTTGGCATCTCAAAACATGTGTGGATTCAGAGAATGCACCACTCAAATACTAAAGAAAACAAAACTGACTGCCGTCACATTCATAATTTTAATTTGGTGGCAGCAAGAATACATTTCCCCAAATGTAACATTTATTATTTGAAATTACCCAGGGGAATTTCGCGTGAGAATATATGTCCCGAGCAGCCTATGCTTGATGCAAGAGGTGACGAAATGGATTGGGTGGTCAAACCCGATCACTTGGTCGATTGCATGTCATGGTATCACACTTTTGTCCATTGAATCTCAGGATGTCAATCACTGGGTTTTCTTGTCTGGACCCAATTATTTTTCTGCGGAGCTATATTCCAGGTATATCCTTGCCGGAACTGTTTGAGTATGGACTAGGCAAACCAGGACAGGAGCAAGAGAAATGGACACATCCACCAGGGCAGGAGCGAAAGAAATTGACACAACCACCTAGGCAGGAGCGAAAGAAATGGACACAACCACCTAGGCAGGAGCGAAAGAAATGGACACAACCACCAGGGCAGGAGCGAAAGAAATGGACACAAACACCAGGGCAGGAGCGAAAGAAATGGAAGCAACCATCTAGGCAAGAGCGAAAGAAATGGACACAACCACCAGGGCAGGAGCGAAAGAAATGGACACAAACACCAGGGCAGGAGCGAAAGAAATGGATACAACCACCAGGACAGGAGCGAAAGAAATGGACACAACCACCTAGGCAGGAGCGAAATAAATGGACACAACCACCAGGGCAGGAGCGAAAGAAATGGACACAGCCACCTGGGCAGGAGCGAAAGAAATGGATACAACCACCTGGGCAGGAGCGAAAGAAATGGACACAACCACCTAGGCAGGAGCGAAAGAAATGGACTCAACCACCTAGGCAGGAGCGAAAGAAATGGACACAAACACCAGGGCAGGAGCGAAAGAAATGGCCATATCCACAAGGGCAGGAGCGAAAGAAATGGACACATCCACCAGGGCATGATAGGCTCAATCAGCCACAGCGTCTACCACACAGATAATGGTGGTCCCTTTCCCCCGGGATGTCTACAGGGCTACAAGCACACTTGCTGCGATTGACGTAGTTATGGTAGTCAGTCTTAAGAATTGTAGTTGTCAGATCACTGGTTTTCTGGTCAGTTTAAGGATGTCAAGGGTAATGATGTAGGGAGGGAGTAAAATAAACATATAATGGTGGTGGTGTTGGTGGAGGGGGGAGGATGGCAGCATAGTATGATACAGTCCTAAGATCAAGCCAATGTCACCCCACCCCACCACCACCCCCACCACCCACACACACATCAAACACCCCACACCCTATACATAATGAATGTTTCCATCACATCATCTCGTGTGCTTGAATCGTAAGAATTAGAATGCATGAACCAATATCACGGCGGGGGACACCAGAAATGCGCTTCACACATTTTATCCATGTCTTGAATCGAACCCGGGTCATCGGCGTGACGAGCGAACGCTTTAACTACTAGGCTACCCGATCGTCCCTAGTTATATATGATGGTAAATAGGACTCCAATGAGTTGAATTCCCGAGTATGTTAATCATTATGATTGTTGTTGTTGTTTGTTGTTAAACGCCACACCCAGCAATGTTCCAGTTATATGACGGCGTTGGAAAAGTACTGATGCAAATTGTCAGGGTAATGTTCATTCCAATATCCTGGTGAGACCCAGGAATTACCCGAGTTGTTAAAGCAGCACTTTGAGACACTATCTGATTATGGCTGTCGTGTTGTCATGACGTTACACGTGGACCGTGGCCTGTGGTAAGTCACGAGTGTTGTCCACCTGTATATGACGTCCCCAAACATAACATTGTGTTTCAATGAACATTAAAATACCTGTGTCCAGCATTCTCTCGACGAGAAGACGATGATTTTTAGTAATCCGTGCATTGCGTTATTTACGTTTGGGGGACAACATTTCTCAAGAATGAGTTCGAGAATTAGTGTCATAAATTATTTGTTCCAGAGAAGGGGCCTCTTGTGTGTATTAATTTCACATGTAATCGGGTTTTTTTTCTGATGAAATAAGCGACCCTAGTGCCTATCTCTTCTTAAGGTCTTAAAGGACTCTTTATATATTCACTACTATTTGAACAAACTATTTTTTTATGTTCCCCATGGTGGGGGATAGTGATAACAATTTCTTGTTGATTCATTTACGATGTACAATATTGCAGGTAGTATTGACACAAATATCACGTTATCACACTCAACTCCTTGTGTTGTCCAGGGACAGAGAAAGCCACGATTACTCAGGGACCAGTTGCGTTCGACCAAGTATGCATGTTATACCGGGTATTAGAATGTAACCTACTTTTCAATCAGTAGCTGGGATATCAGCTAAAAGGACACTCTTGACCATTACGAGCTCTGGTGTCTGGCTGCTCTTAAGCCGCGCCCAGAAGTTGTTTGATTGTCTGAAAATACAAGGCAGTATTACGCCCATCTTTTTACGGACAAGCAACTCGACGTGACTAAAAATCATAAGGTTGCATGGAATTCTTCATGTAAAAGTAAATAGAACATACGAAATTACATGAATCCATTGCGTGGTGCAATTAATGTAATGAGACGATCTTGTCCAGGGTTCCGTTGTACAAAACGATCTTAGCCCTAAGGTGATCGTAACTCCGATACCTTAACATAGACTTACGACAGTTGTTGCGCTGAGATTGTTTTGAACAACGGTACTCAGGGTGTCGTTTGTAGGCCTGCAATGCCCAGGTCTCATTGCAAGTCTACCCGTTTGTCCTACAGTCGAGAAATTACACTTGGTTTGCCAAACATTGTGACGTCCCCCCTTATATCGTACCCATAATTCGTCATTTTGTCTGTTCATTGAGACACTGTCTCGGGTGCATTTTTGGGCGTGTGCTTAGCTCAATGGTATTAGTGATTGTGAGTTACCCTACAGGCGCACACACTTTAGGTTCTGTGGGCACGTGTGTCACGTGCTTTTCATGCGGGATGAGAAATGATTTTATGATTAGATGTTGCGTTCACATGCAACTCCACAGTATTGTAAATGTACATATACATGGTTTGTTGTTGGTTGGTTTGTTGTTTAACGCCGCACTCAGCAATATTCGTGCTATATGACGGCGGTCTGTAAATAATCGAGTCTGGACCAGACAATCAAGTGATTGACATCATGAACATCGATCCACACAATTGGGATAGATGACATGCATCAACCAAGTCAGCGAGTCTGACCACCCGATCCCTTTAGTCGCCTTTTACGACAAGCATAGTCGCCTGTTACGGCAAGCATGGGTTGCTGAAGACCTATTCTACCCAGGATCTTCACAGGTCCCCTTATATATGTATCGGACGTATAATTAGAGACTGTGTGAACTAGCCGTCTATCCCCCTCGTGTGACGTGACTCACTACCATATCCTCACATGAACTGTTGCCAGTTATCTTACCTTCACACACGAACTCTGGCGCAGTGGTGACTCAGCATAACACCACTGCCACAGGCTAATTTGCATATCACGTGACCGGACTTTTCTCTTGTTTGTAAAGAAACGCGCTTTTTCAGAAATCAATGTAGAACGGACTAATGCAAGTATTTGGGGTCGCTTAATATATTGTTTTGCATAATTATATAGATATACTACTACAACTGCGACAGTGAGTTGCATGACAATATACATTTATACATCAAAAAGACCGTATCGCCAGCTCTCCGTTGGGCTTCGATGACAGCACGTGGAGCCTTACAACCAATGTAAACAAAGAATAACTACGCAAAAACAAATATATTTTCACGTATTAGGATACTTTCTTAATGAATCGTAACCATTCTTTGACGTTTGTTTATGAAAATGTGTTGACTTGTCATACATGAAACGGATGAAAAGCATATTCAACATCTTGAATGGACTGTGAAAGATGTGACGAATCGTCACATGGCGCTGGCCTGTGGCAGAGGTACTATGCTGGCTGGCTGCCGGCCGCATGGAACTCTGGGTAGGAGAGTGCTTCACACACAGTTGTTTGCTTGTATGCAACTCCATCTACGGAAGTAAAATCCTTTACCGATTCTTTTTGTTTTTAGACGGCACAACATTTGTCTTAAGTACACATTCAAATACCAATGCAAAAAGACCACAGAAATATTTTATGAGTTTTATTTTAACAATTAAAATGAAATGACCAAAGTAAAATTCATGAGGAACAGACATGATATTCAACATTTATAAAACCTCGCTATATGCACTAAACCAGAAGTTGCTATCCATACAGTTGTACGTTTTCTTATTCGTAAAATGACAGCGCAGTGGAAAAGCAATCATTTGCAAGTCTTATAAAAAACATACATTCACATGAGACTCACCGAACCTTTACATTAAACATGACATTGATCATAAAGTTGATATTAAGTCAACTCCTAATAGAATGATTATAACGAAATACCCAATTTAACGGACGAAGGCTAAATTCGAAAATAGAGAAAGGGCAAATCCAAAGTGAAGATATACTTTTTCGATGAAATATCTACAACAAAGAAATATATATACAAAAATGCATACTTCGAAAACCTTTATACCTACGAAAGAATATATTCAGTCAACTCCTGATAAAAGAATGATTAGCAGGATATAGCCGCAATAACGCACCAATCGTGTTGATAAACGGTGTACATTGCTATTTCAAAGACCTGAATTCGCACTGCATTTGTTATCGTATGTCGTTAACCAGGAATGTATGACACACACTATGCGGCAAAAACCTTTCTATAATCATAAGAAATATCTTCTGATAACAGGGTCTATCGTTCGATTCTGACAATATACTAGTATATAAACATATGTTTATAGTGATGATATAGTGACGAAGGTGAGCGTATCTTGTCCAAACCGGTGGCCAACAAGCACAATAAGTGATTGTATAAAGTACAATGTTCCTCTGAGATTTGTAAACAAGAGGAGTCTTAAAGATCAACCCTTAAAATGGCTGCAAAACAATGTGACTGTTTTAACGATCACTGCATCAGGCTTTGCTAAAGATCACGCGTTTTCGGTTTCGCTTCCGAAGACAGTCAACGACTCTTCCACAGTCAAGAAGCACCACTCCGGCAAACGCAAGGACAAAGAAGACGATTCCAACCTTTCCGATTGCCTGGGCAGTTGGCCGGTCGTCACTAGCCGATGTCTTTTCACGTTTGTAGGACGAGAGTGTCTTCTTTTCCAATGTAAGTTTCTTTATTAGCTCTTTCATTTCATCCACTGAAGGCCCAGCAGATGAAAGCCAGACACACGTGGTGTTGGTTGTTGTGCAGTTTGGGCCTACAGAAACATTACACATACATATACGTCTATGTTTGTTTGTTTGTTGTTTAACGAGGCACTAAGCAATATATCAATCACTGGATTGTCTGGTCCAGACTCGATTATTTACAGACCGCCGTCATATAGTTGTAATATTGCTGAGTGCGGCGTTAAACAACAAACCAACCAATTAGAACAATACAGCTCCAGTGGATCCATCCAATTCTGTAAACCTTTTATCGTACTACAAAACAGACCTATATCATCAAAAAAAAGCAACAGAAATATCTTAATATCTGGGTGCAGCTGTATACCATCAGTACAATTACCTTAATTTGTGCAGCTAGTTCATTGACGAAAAAACAGAACAGGAAGGGGCTAAGAATACAGCCTTGGCGTACACCAAAGTTACTTATGAAGACATCAGAATATATTCCCCGGTATTTAACACATGACTTTACATGTTGATAAATATTGCTTAATAATTTACCCATTTTGTTACTCACACCATTTTAAAAGAAATAATGCCCATATGATATTTCTGTTTACCGAATTAAACGCTTTTTGAAACCTTAAAAATATTGCATAACTCTTTCCACCTTTTCTCTGCATGTATTTGTGAATAATCGCATTAAGTATGAAATTAATACCCGTGGTTGAGTACCCTTGTCTAAAACCTGCTTTTTCTTCCGACATTTTATCTAATAATTCTGACCAAAAGGTGACTCTTTTATTGATAATAGAAACAAATATTTTGCTACAAACACTCAGAAGGGTAATTCCTCGCTAATTGTTTGTGTCGGTACATGACCCTGATTTATGTAGGAGAATTATCACACAAATAGTCCACTTTATGGGGAAATAACGTTTCTAAAATCATATTAAACAGTAATTCAAAGTGTGGGAGTAGAATATTGACAGAATGTTTAAGAACTCTGGAATTAAACCATCTATCCCGGAACTCTTGCTGTTGTTTCAAATCGTAGATAGCTTTTTGAATTTCCTCTCTCAAGAATTGCAGCAGTTATGTCATTGTCATCCTGATCTGATAATTCACAGTAAGTATCACTCCTGACACCATTACCAATAAACGTTATTTTTGAAATAATCATACCATTCATCAATTTCAATATTACTTTTAGACTAATAATGGGGATTTAGCTTTCCGAGGGTTGTCCAAACTTCTTTCGACGACTTAATGTCATCTTCCAAATATTGTTTTTTCCTTTTCAAGAAATATAAGCTTCTTTTCCCTGCACGTGGTTTTGTTAAGATTTTTAATTCTTGTATATTCCCTTAACGACTGCAAATCTTTATCTCTTCTGAATTTGTTGAGGCATGTACATGTCTTTTTTAGTAACTGACATTCCCAATCAAACCATTGTTGTGTTTTCTTATCCATGTGAACTACTTTCTTCATTTCGTCACCAGCAAAGGAGAGTGCCTCTCTAATAACCTCGATACTTTCATCAATATTTGTGAATACGGCATCAACTGCTTTTTCAACAAGTGATAAAAACTTATCTGAAGATAAGTTACAAAGAAATATTTCTTCTTTATCAGTTCTCCATTTAAATGTAATGTACTTGCATACTCGATATCATCATAACCATCAATGCCTGAATGAAACGTACGTAAAGACAGTACTAAAGTAACACGTTGCGACTCGTAACGTGGGTCAATGTTGAATGTTTTGCAGAGGTCAAACATGTGTACTGTGGAGGTAATATAGTCATTTACGCTCGCCCCAGTACTATCACGATGTACCTTCTTTGCCTAAAGTGACAGAGGGTGATATCACAGAGGTCAAACATGTGTACTGTGGAGGTAATATAGTCATTTACGCTCGCCCCAGTACTATCACGATGTACCTTCTTTGCCTAAAGTGACAGAGGGCGATATCACAGAGGTCAAACATGTGTACTGTGGAGGTAATATAGTCATTTACGCTCGCCCCTGTTCTATCACGATGTACCTTCTTTGCCTAAAGTGACAGAGTGTGATATCACAGAGGTCAAACATGTGTACTGTGGAGGTAATATAGTCATTTACGCTCGCCCCCGTACTATCACGATGTACCTTCTTTGCCTAAAGTGACAGAGGGTGATATCACAGAGGTCAAACATGTGTACTGTGGAGGTAATATAGTCATTTACGAGCGCCCCCGTACTATCACGATGTACCTTCTTTGCCTAAAGTGACAGAGGGCGATATCACAGAACAGGGAATATCTCACTTAATTCAAAACTGTCAAGCGTATGTGTGTGCGTGATGAATGCATTTTGAATTTTATTCGACTCCAAAGTAAGGGTTAATTAAAGAGGGGGGAAATGTATATGTCCTCTGGCATCCAGGGGGTTAATCAACATCGTTTAAACATTTCAATTTCTTAAAAGTACGATAAGAATAATTGTATTAGGTTTTTTTAAATCCACGAGGTTGATGCTTTGAAATAATTATCTCTTGCCATTGGAAAATCTGCAGTCAAGCAGTAAATGTGGTGCTTGAATATCTCAGGTATTCCCTATCAAGTGAAGATTCCGGGGTAGAATAGATCTTCAGCAACCAATACTTGCCGTAAAAGGCGACTGTGTTTGTCGTAAAAGGCGACTAAAGGGATCGGGTACACCGGTGGTCAGGCTTGCTGACTTGGTTTGATACATGTCATCGATCCCAATTGCGTGGATCGATGCTCATGTTGTCAATCACTGGATTGTCTGGTCCAGACTCGATTATTTTACAGACCGCCGTCATATAGCTGGAATATTGCTGAGTTAAACAACAAACAAACAAACTTAATGATCGTTTTGGAACATTGATCTGTCTTGTCAAAGGTCAAGATCATCCTCAAAACGAAAGCCTGAAAACTCGTTATCACCTACCTCAAGAAGGATTTACTTGGTACGTGCTATCCTAATGCCAGGGGCCAGACCCGAAATGTAAGGTCACGGTGGGACCAAATGATGACAATCAATGACGTAAGTGATAGCCACTGTGGCATTTAGTTAGTTAGTTTGTTGTTTAACGACGCACTCAGCAATATTCCAGCTATATGGCGGCGGTCTGTAAATAATCGAGTCTTTACCAGACAATCCAGGGATTGACATCATGAGCATCGATCCACGCAATTGGGAAACGATGACTTGCATCAACCAAGTCAGCGAACTTGACCACCCGATCCAGTTCGTCGCCTTTTACGACAAGCATGGGTTGCTGAAGACCTAGTCTACCCCGGATCTTCACAGGGCCACTTTGACTTTTGATGGGAAGCATATGCTTGTTTTTTTCGTCTTAAGATAAGACCGGCCAAGGGATATCATATTTAGTTTCTAATTCTGGTTCGTCACTTATTGTGAACTGGAATAAGCAACAGAACAAACACAGCACCAGTCTTCGAGTCCGATTTAGAACACAACCCCTTCTGTCCAATGTGTCAAAAAGAAGAGGACAATCACTTATGTTATTCTGACAGTGTTTGTACTTACACAAGTTTTCTGGCAATTGCATCACTGGAGTTGTTTTTCCATTAGATGATGTAGTTGCGTCTGGTGTTTGAGCAGATTCTGACTTGACAGTTGTTACATCGGATTCTGAAGTTGTTACATCGGATTTAGGAGTTGCAATTGATGCAGACGCGGCTGAAGTATTTGCAGTTGCTTTCGGAGTAGTGGGAGATGATGCTGATGTGATTTTTTCTGATGTTGAAGCAGATTCTGTTTCCACAGTTGTTACATCGGATTCTGAAGTTGTTACATCGGATTCTGAAGTTTTTACATCGGATTCAGTAGTTGACTCCGCCGCAGCTGGAGCTGTTGCAGCTGCGTTCGTAGTACCGATACTGGATGATAATACAGAGGTTGATCCATTGGTCACTGTACACATCCCCACGGTAGAATTGATCTCGGTGACATTTGGTGACAAATCTGCCACTTTTGCTGTGAAGAAAAATGTTTGTACAATGATGACGCTTTGAACATTATTCCAGTCAATCATAGCCTGTCATCTTAATGTGGGAGGAAAGCCCGCAGTGAAGCAGGTCGCACACGTTTATCGATTTGGTAAAACCAATGAGAATAGGTATGGTGCTGACAAACTTACAAACATAATCGGGGGGAACAGGCTGACTGTTTGATTGGCATTCTAGAATTTGGTGAGTAAATTAGAAAACGTACACCTTTATAGATTACAACTTCTGGGTTATTGCATTGAGCAATGTCAGTGGTTTACTGAGTGTTGTACCGGAAAACAATTGCATCGGAATTACGCGGGTTTGATCTGTTTAATTCTGGTTCAGGAAGAAAATGTACAAGAGGTTCCTTCAATATAATTTGTGTCCGTGCCTTGAAACACAGCGGTGCTTTACGACAGTGCAGTTGGCAATAGCTCATTGCATTCTGGGTATCCGAGGTAGACAGTTCCACTAGCTTGCTGCTGCTCGTCACGAGAGGCGATTTACTTGGGAGTCCATGGGGTTTCGGGGTAAGAACTGATCACCAGCAAGCCATGCTTGTCAGAAGAGGTGACAAAATGGATTGGCTGATCTGAGTCGTATCCCAAAGCGTGGATCGATGTTCATGATATCAGTCATTGGATTCTCGATACTTGACAGATCGCGGTCAGATAGCTGGAATACTGATGAATGCCGCTCTAAACAACAAAGATACACACGCATTCCGAGAAATATTTTGGGTCACATGACAAATAAATGGTCTCCAATAAGCGAGAACTACCCTCAGCCTTCGGAAATTAATTGTTTCTGAAAAACAGTACAGTTGCTTTCTACTCGTTCTGATAGTCTAGCGATACAGTATCAGAGAGCGTTGTGGGAATTACAATAGTTTCCATAATAGCATTGATTCCAGGGATGTTAAAAGACCGACGATACATTGATAAACACAATTCTTAATCTTCACTTTTACCGTTTAGTAGGCATCACTAGTGCGAACGTCCCGAGGAAACAGTCCCGAGTACGAAGTAATATCGTTTGTATATATTTACACGTTCCAAACAACAGTCGTCCGGAAGGCTGAGTGGTCTTACTGTGACAATCATCGTAACTGGTCTAAGCAATAGGTCATCTCTTGCCATCATACTGTTGTTGAGCTCTGCATATTACGAAATATATTTCAAGATATATCCAGATCGTACTTGTTATGTTGTCGTCGAATTCTCGCATGTTTTTGGGGCGTTCTCAACTCATCTCTGCCCCTAGCTTAGTTAGCAGCTCCATAAGGCTTATGGATGTGACGACGACCGTCGTGGATAAGACACAAAGATTAGACAGTCGTGAAAAGGTGAAAAATCAAGGGTACTTTCACAAACGTTATTAATGCATTTATCATGAAACTTGGTATGTACCTTGGCCCAAATCAGGCCAAAGGATTTTATAGAAGCAGGTTGTATGATTTTCAGTCTCTGAAGTATGCTCATCTCTTCAACTATTGATGTATATATGTCTGTGTGTCTTAACACATATTACAAAATCACTTGTCAATTATGTATTTGTGACAAAGATAACGTCTTGTTATTGTGAAACATGGACGTATCATACTTTCTCTTAAATGACATTACTGAATATACATCAATGGAATAATCCAACACGGACCTAGATAATGTTTTGACCTATGATATGAGAAGGTCAAAGGTAAAGGTCAATAAATGGAAAGATCTTACTAATGTGTTTGTAGTTAAACTTTCGAAAAAACATATTGATGCTGAGAATTTACCGTCTTAAGGTTGAGGCGACACGTCGCTAAATACAGTAAACCAAAAGTTGTTATCTTTAAAATTGCAAGTTTTCCTATTTTCACACCAATGAAACAGTTATTTTAGTTAATTCTTGGTCAAAACAAGTTAAAGTGAAGATTGAGGTTTTGGTAAAACATGGTTATCTCCTGGTGACCTCTACGACCATAAAACTTTTTAAATGCATGTATCCCATCACATAAAACACTGACATTTAAAAGGTCATCATTGGTGTTATTGTGAAACGGCATTTCTTCCAATGTCAGTTACTGTTGCACTTCACAGTGAAGGTATCTTGATAAGGTAAGGGTCTAGAGATTATGTTTTGGAATGTACGTGGAATGTTAACATAATGGGAGCATTGGAAAACTAACAGTGAGGAGCTGCTTCTGTTTATATACTTGTAAACACCTTCACTGGTTCTGAACAATGGCCTATGACACACAAGACTCACCGCAGTACGTTCCATTATAAACAGTTACCGAAGATGACTCGATGCTGGCACATTCGTCTGTAACCGAAATGTTAGAGCAATGAAAGACTCGATTTGATTTATTTCATTATCTTACCCACTTTTACCCACCAAATATGTTCGTCGACCAAAGTTCACACACGTGTATTTACGGCTATTTAACTTTTACAGTACGAGACGTGTGTTGTTGTTACTTACGAGATGTGTGTAATTGTTGTGAATTGTTGTACAGGACGTTACTGAATCTTGTTTATGAACCAGCTGTAACATAATACTCTGATTTTGCCGATCACTGCGAGGAAAGTATCCTGTTGTGTTACACTTCACATCAATTATACAACGTAGTGCTTGTACTAAGAATGAACGGGGATAATTGTGATGCAAATACCCGTTTGAAAAACGATATCTTTTAAAACACCAGGCGGAAATAGCTGTAATATTACCAATGCGACGTAAAGCAATATTATTTCTTTCATTTGAAACACCAAATAAACACTGATGATGGAACACTTTATTGACATGTACATGTCTATATATTTGTGTAGATACACGTGCTTATAAAATGAATACGTTTGTGACAAAAACTTTGTCGCTAGGTCAGGAGGCATGCTCAACAGTTTTCCATCGACTCTAGGGCAAGTCGTTCTGCTACAGTTGTCTGTTTTGTCCCTTCAGGTCCATCATAGTCATAGTCGAACTCCGAGTTTTGCAGAAAACCAAGAACATGGTTAAAAATAGCCATGTAGTCGAATACATAATAGGCTGCCACAAAGAGACTGTTGCTTCTAAGATTGTTCTTGGCAAGGTATATTTGTCTGCACACACACACAGTAGATGCATTTTGGTCTTACCAAGTTATGAGAACAAAATATTTAACCAACAAAATGATGCTAAATGCAATCTTAATAACTGTTATGTTCTGTTGGTATGAATAATATCGAAATATAATGAAGGGAAAGGGAAGCCAGCCATACGGTTTAACGCCGCTTTTAACAGTATTCCAGTTATATCGCAGCGTGCAGCTTAATGTGGGAGGAAAGCCCGAAGTGATGTAGCCCGAACCAACAAACCAACAAACCAACCAATCAAATTCCTTACATGGACTACACGGAAGGTAAATCAGACGTTAATCCAAGAGGTCACATACTGACCCAGTTCTTCTGCTCACACTTGGTAGGACATTTGCGAACGGGTGGACCTATTCTTTTTGTGTGTTTGTTTATGTTTAGCACTCAGGAATATTCTAGCTGTTTGACGGCAGTCTGTACATGGACCACACAATGCAGTGATTGGTATCATGAGCATCGATCTACGCACTTAAGGTACATGACATGACATGCATCAACCAAGTCAGCGAACCTGGCCTCCCGATCCCGTCAGTCGCCTCTTACGGCAATCAGGGGTTGCTGAAGAAAAAATTCTAACCCGGATTTCACGGTTTGGACCTATTCTAATGTGAGGAGGAGAATTCATGGATGTCAACTTCTTTATTATGGGGAACACAACTTTTTAGAGTCTATGCCTACTCCTTCAGATGGTTTGTATGCATGTATCCCATCACATAAAACACTGACATTTAAAAGGTCATCATTGGTGTTATTGTGAAACGGCATTTCTTCCAATGTCAGTTACTGTTGCACTTCACAGTGAAGGTATCTTGATAAGGTAAGGGTCTAGAGATTATGTTTTGGAATGTACATGGAATGTTAACATAATGGGAGCATTGGAAAACTAACAGTGAGGAGCTGCTTCTGTTTATATACTTGTAAACACCTTCACTGGTTCTGAACAATGGCCTATGACACACAAGACTCACCGCAGTACGTTCCATTATAAACAGTTACCGAAGATGACTCGATGCTGGCACATTCGTCTGTAACCGAAATGTTAGAACAATGAAAGACTCGATTAGATTTATTTCATTATCTTACCCACTTTTACCCACCAAATTTGTTCGTCGACCAAAGTTCACACACGTGTATTTACGGCTATTTAACTTTTACAGTCCGAGACGTGTGTTGTTGTTACTTACGAGATGTGTGTAATTGTTGTGAATTGTTGTACAGGACGTTACTGAATCTTGTTTATGAACCAGCTGTAACATAATACTCTGATTTTTCCGATCACTGCGAGGAACGTATCCTGTTGTGTTACACTTCACATCAATTATACAACGTAGTGCTTGTACTAAGAATGAACGGGGATAATTGTGATGCAAATACCCGTTTGAAAACACCAGGCGGAAATAGCTGTAATATTACCAATGCGACGTAAAGCAATATTATTTCTTTCATTTGAAACACCAAATAAACACTGATGATGGAACACTTTATTGACATGTACATGTCTATATATTTGTGTAGATGCACGTGCTTATAAAATGAATACGTTTGTGCCAAAAAATTTTCGCTAGGTCAGGAGGGATGCTCAACAGTTTTCCATCGACTCTAGGGCAAGTCGTTCTGCTACAGTTGTCTGTTTTGTCCCTTCAGGTCCATCATAGTCATAGTCGAACTCCGAGTTTTGCAGAAAACCAAGAACATGGTTAAAAATAGCCATGTAGTCGAATACATAATAGGCTGCCACAAAGACACTGTTGCTTCTAAGATTGTTCTTGGCAAGGTATATTTGTCTGCACACACACACAGTAGATGCATTTTGGTCTTACCAAGTTATGAGAACAAAATATTTAACCAACAAAATGATTCTAAATGCAATCTTAATAACTGTTATGTTCTGTTGGTATGAATAATATCGAAATATAATGAAGGGAAAGGGAAGCCAGCCAAACGGTTTAACGCCACTTTTAACAGTATTCCAGTTATATCGCAGCGTGCAGCTTAATGTGGGAGGAAAGCCCGAAGTGATGTAGCCCGAACCAACAAACCAACAAACCAACCAATCAAATTCCTTACATGGAGTACACGGAAGGTAAATCAGACGTTTATCCAAGAGGTCACATACTGACCCAGTTCTTCTGCTCACACTGGGTAGGACATTTGCGAACGGGTGGACCTATTCTTTTTGTGTGTTTGTTTATGTTTAGCACTCCGGAATATTCTAGCTGTTTGACGGCAGTCTGTACATGGACCACACAATGCAGTGATTGGTATCATGAGCATCGATCTACGCACTTAAGGTACATGACATGACATGCATCAACCAAGACAGCGAGCCTGGCCTCCCGATCCCGTCAGTCGCCTCTTACGGCAATCAGGGGTTGCTGAAGAAAAAATTCTAACCCGGATTTCACGGTTTGGACCTATTCTAATGTGAGGAGGAGAATTCATGGATGTCAACTTCTTTATTATGGGGAACACAACTTTTTAGAGTCTATGCCTACTCCTTCAGATGGTTTGGATAAACCCTAGGGCATCCTCTAACCGCCGATGTGATATTGTAAGGGTGTCTGGGTATATAGTGGAGTCTGGAGCCACGAGTATATCAAAGTAATGTATTTCAAATAGAAAAGTACATGCACATGAACTATATTTATATAGTTTTATAGTAATAGTTATTTGGTTAATGGAGTGGTATAACATACGAATAACCAACGTAATCAATGAGATGTAAATCTGTCAAGAGCAATACGTAACAGCGTTACATAAGTATTTCTTTAAAGAAATACTGCAAAGTATATAGACAGGCGGAAAAGAAATTTCACACTCTGACATACTGATAAATGGTACGCAGAAACTCCATATAAGAGTGAACAGCTTCCGTCATATAGCTGGAATACTGCTGAGTAAACAACACACACACAAACGAATAACAAACCTGGGAGTAAATATAGTTAACAATTAAAGGTTTTATTTTCCAAAACTTAAAATACTTACTTGTCTCCTTTTCACACACGGTCGCATATTTACGAGTACACTCCTTGTTTTTCAATTTATAATTATGTCTATACAGGACACAGTTCTTAGTTCCTTGACTGTTACTTCCGACTTGGGCCAACGGTATGAATTTCCCGGGATCAGTACAGTCTGACCATTTAAATGAAGCGGCGTTGTGTGAGTCCGGTTTCAAGTCATAAAGACCAATCCAGATGTCACCAGGGTCGCTGATGGTCAAGAGATATAGATCAAGTACTGGCCTTACAACATGATATTAGTAGTACACATGTTACGATCATATGTAGTTGTACCGATGTTATAATTACTATAATTATGTTGTAGTACTGAAAGTTGTAATGTTGATAATTTACTTGAAACTGATCAAGGGTATCAGTAGCAGAAAAAGGACACATCTTTATGTAAACGTGTGACGAAACTATTGAAATTCATTTCAACAAATAACGGGTAGCCATTCTCACACCTCGTGTTCATGAAATCCCGATTAGGTTGCCAATTCTGTACAAAATTCTTGAAAAGAAAATCCTGATCGTTTCGTGATATTCCCTCTCTTGATTAGTGCCGTATGTTCCTGTTTGTGACTACTTCGTATGCCCTTCCATGTGTTTGAGGGGACCAAAGACAAGGCACTATATGCTTATCGTTTCGCAAACACCTGGTATTATCACTATTTGATAGTGATTCCTAAACATATGGTTTGTTTTTTTTCGAAATCGTCCAACGGAATCTGCTTGTACCAGAGAATTCTAATGATTATTCAAAGGGCATTGTCGCTGAATAAATGCTGAAAACTGCATTTACGAAAACTGTTTTTACATGTATCAAATTTAAGGCCTCATGCGATAATAGCAACACTCGAATAACATCGTAAACTGCATATATATTCTTAAATTTCGACCCAAAGATGTGTCTCACACATAACCATCATTATCTTGACTGGTAACCATGGTGTTTGGCTGTCAATATTGTAATACATGATATCACCATAAAGCCGCATCATGTGTAACTATGATGCAATAAAAAAACAACAACCTTGACCAAGGATAATTACATACTGGATTAAGAGGGCAGATTTGTTGCACCTATTAAAACGTTCTTAGCAAAAATGGGGTACTACTTCTCTTACCCTCCTTCCAAATGATTGTCACTTCTCCATTTCTCCACAACCGATGTAATAACACAGAGTTCTTCAGCCGTTTTGAACGTCAGCATCTGTTGACCTTGACTTCTGCAAACTGCATACACCTCATTCCAGGTATGCGAGTCCTTGTACAGTGTGTAGAGCTTCCCGGAAGTGACACATAGGACATATTCTAGGGAACAAAATATGTATTATTAGGAATATTGCTCGACATAAAGGGAAAGTTGACTGTAACACATGTTATATTTGGGATAACACTTTCCGAGTAAAGTACAGATTCTCGTACTTTCGTTTGAGTTCCGTCCGGAATTCGAACCCACAAAGTTGACTATTTGTCTCTCTGAATGGATCTAAATATATTTTGTTTGTTTGTTGTTCAACGCCGCACTCAGCTATGTGCAATATTCCAGCTATATGACGGCGGTCTGTAAATAATCCAGTCTGGACCAGACAATCCAGTGATTGACATCATGAACATCGATCTACGCAATTGGGATCGATGACATGCATCAACCTCCCGATCCCGTTAGTCGCCTCTTTCGACAAGCATAGTCGCCTTTTACGGCAAGCACTGACTGCTGTAGACCTATTCTACCCTAGATCTTCACGGGTCAGATCTAAATATGAAACAGATGAGGCGGTCTCACTGGTCTCCTTTGTTTTTACTTCAAGTGGGTAAATCAGTAGGAGCAAATTGGCTATTTGATGGTCATTGAACGATATCAGATCATCGATAAAATTTACCTGAAACTAAGAAGATTCAGCTGAATCTGTGGTCACCTCGTTATGTACCATGGATGAAGGAATGAAGTTTTTCCTTAAGTTTGTCATCTGGGATACTGGGGTACTAAGTTAAAAAAATAAAATTTAACCTGGCTCATTTCTGATATTGAAAAAAAGTCAAGCAAATCCTTTGAGTTTTTGCGAATGCACCAGGTATTAATTCGACAAAGCTCGAATAGTAAGCGAGTATGGTTTTACGCCGCTTTTAGCAATATTCCAGCAATATCACGGCGGGGGACACCAGAAATTGCCTTAACACATTGTACACATGTCGGGAATCGAACCCGGGTCTTCGGCGTGACGAGCGAACGCTTTAACCACTGGGCTACCCGACCGCCCCCAGTAGCTCGAATACGTTCTGTGAATATATAGAATGTCCAGGGATTTAGGGATACATTTGCCGCACCCAAGAGCTGTGGAATCCAGTACAAAAGAGAAATGGACATGTCTTCAGGTGCGTAATCGGGTCCAAATGCAAAGAGTCCCATTGAGAAGGTATGTTGTACAGCAATTTCGCAATCCAGCGAGGTGGACACCAAGGCCCTGAAGAAAAGTTATTAAACCTCGCAATGTGTATCTCTACACCGCGCCTCACTATTATGACGTCTCATTGTGATGCAGTAAATATGGCTTTCAGTCCGCTACTCTAAAGCGCTAAATTTCAAGCTCCCCGTGGTCTCCAACACTTGAAATACAGTGTCTCTGAGTGAGGCGTGAAATACAGTGTCTCTGAGTGAGGCGTGAAATACAGTGTCTCTGAGTGAGGCGTGAAATACAGTGTCTCTGAGTGAGGCGTGAAATACAGAGACTCTGAGTGAGGCGTGAAACACAGTGTCTCTGAGTGAGGCGTGAAATACAGTGTCTCTGAGTGAGGCGTGAAATACAGTGTCTCTGAGTGAGGCGTGAAATACAGTGTCTCTGAGTGAGGCGTGAAATACAGTGTCTCTGGGTGAGGCGTGAAACACAGTGTCTCTGAGTGAGGCGTGAAACACAGTGTCTCTGAGTGAGGCGTGAAACACAGTGTCTCTGAGTGAGGCGTGAAACACAGTGTCTCTGAGGTGTGAAATACAATGTCTCTGAGTGAGGCGTGAAATACAGTGTCTCTGAGTGAGGCGTGAAATACAGTGTCTCTGAGTGAGGTGTGAAACACAGTGTCTCTGAGTGAGGCGTGAAATACAGTGTCTCTGAGTGAGGCGTGAAATACAGTGTCTCTGAGTGAGGCGTGAAATACAGTGTCTCTGAGTGAGGCGTGAAACACAGTGTCTCTGAGTGAGGTGTGAAACAGTGTCTCTGAGTGAGGCGTGAAATACAGTGTCTCTGAGTGAGGTGTGAAATACAGTGTCTCTGAGTGAGGCGTGAAATACAGTGTCTCTGAGTGAGGCGTGAAATACAGTGTCTCTGAGTGAGGCGTGAAATACAGTGTCTCTGAGTGAGGCGTGAAATACAGTGTCTCTGAGTGAGGCGTGAAATACAGTGTCTCTGAGTGAGGCGTGAAATACAGTGTCTCTGAGTGAGGTGTGAAACACAGTGTCTCTGAGTGAGGCGTGAAATACAGTGTCTCTGAGTGAGGCGTGAAATACAGTGTCTCTGAGTGAGGTGTGAAATACAGTGTCTCTGAGTGAGGCGTGAAATACAGTGTCTCTGAGTGAGGTGTGAAATACAGTGTCTCTGAGTGAGGTGTGAAATACAGTGTCTCTGAGTGAGGCGTGAAATACAGTGTCTCTGAGTGAGGTGTGAAACACAGTGTCTCTGAGTGAGGCGTGAAATACAGTGTCTCTGAGTGAGGTGTGAAATACAGTGTCTCTGAGTGAGGCTTGAAATACAGTGTCTCTGAGTGAGGCGTGAAATACAGTGTCTCTGAGTGAGGTGTGAAACACAGTGTCTCTGAGTGAGGCGTGAAATACAGTGTCTCTGAGTGAGGCGTGAAATACAGTGTCTCTGAGTGAGGCGTGAAATACAGTGTCTCTGAGTGAGGTGTGAAACACAGTGTCTCTGAGTGGGGCGTGAAACACAGTGTCTCTGAGTGAGGCGTGAAATACAGTGTCTCTGAGTGAGGCGTGAAACACAGTGTCTCTGAGTGAGGCGTGAAACACAGTGTCTCTGAGTGAGGCGTGAAACACAGTGTCTCTGAGTGAGGCGTGAAACACAGTGTCTCTGAGTGAGGCGTGAAACACAGTGTCTCTGAGTGAGGCGTGAAACACAGTGTCTCTGAGTGAGGCGTGAAACACAGTGTCTCTGAGTGAGGCGTGAAATACAGTGTCTCTGAGTGAGGCGTGAAATACAGTGTCTCTGAGTGAGGTCTGAAATACAGTGTCTCTGAGTGAGGTGTGAAATACAGTGTCTCTGAGTGAGGTGTGAAATACAGTGTCTCTGAGTGAGGCGTGAAATACAGTGTCTCTGAGTGAGGCGTGAAATACAGTGTCTCTGAGTGAGGCGTGAAATACAGTGTCTCTGAGTGAGGCGTGAAATACAGTGTCTCTGAGTGAGGTGTGAAATACAGTGTCTCTGAGTGAGGCGTGAAATACAGTGTCTCTGAGTGAGGTGTGAAATACAGTGTCTCTGAGTGAGGTGTGAAATACAGTGTCTCTGAGTGAGGCGTGAAACACAGTGTCTCTGAGTGAGGTGTGAAATACAGTGTCTCTGAGTGAGGTGTGAAATACAGTGTCTCTGAGTGAGGTGTGAAACACAGTGTCTCTGAGTGAGGCGTGAAATACAGTGTCTCTGAGTGAGGTGTGAAATACAGTGTCTCTGAGTGAGGCGTGAAATACAGTGTCTCTGAGTGAGGTGTGAAATACAGTGTCTCTGAGTGAGGTGTGAAATACAGTGTCTCTGAGTGAGGCGTGAAACACAGTGTCTCTGAGTGAGGTGTGAAATACAGTGTCTCTGAGTGAGGTGTGAAATACAGTGTCTCTGAGTGAGGTGTGAAACACAGTGTCTCTGAGTGAGGCGTGAAATACAGTGTCTCTGAGTGAGGCGTGAAATACAGTGTCTCTGAGTGAGGCGTGAAATACAGTGTCTCTGAGTGAGGCGTGAAATACAGTGTCTCTGAGTGAGGCGTGAAACACAGTGTCTCTGGGTGAGGCGTGAAATACAGTGTCTCTGAGTGAGGCGTGAAACACAGTGTCTCTGAGTGAGGCGTGAAACACAGTGTCTCTGAGTGAGGCGTGAAACACAGTGTCTCTGAGTGAGGCGTGAAACACAGTGTCTCTGAGTGAGGCGTGAAACACAGTGTCTCTGAGTGAGGCGTGAAATACAGTGTCTCTGAGTGAGGCGTGAAATACAGTGTCTCTGAGTGAGGCGTGAAATACAGTGTCTCTGAGTGAGGTCTGAAATACAGTATCTCTGAGTGAGGTGTGAAATACAGTGTCTCTGAGTGAGGTGTGAAATACAGTGTCTCTGAGTGAGGCGTGAAATACAGTGTCTCTGAGTGAGGCGTGAAATACAGTGTCTCTGAGTGAGGCGTGAAATACAGTGTCTCTGAGTGAGGCGTGAAATACAGTGTCTCTGAGTGAGGTGTGAAATACAGTGTCTCTGAGTGAGGCGTGAAATACAGTGTCTCTGAGTGAGGTGTGAAATACAGTGTCTCTGAGTGAGGTGTGAAATACAGTGTCTCTGAGTGAGGCGTGAAACACAGTGTCTCTGAGTGAGGTGTGAAATACAGTGTCTCTGAGTGAGGTGTGAAATACAGTGTCTCTGAGTGAGGTGTGAAACACAGTGTCTCTGAGTGAGGCGTGAAATACAGTGTCTCTGAGTGAGGTGTGAAATACAGTGTCTCTGAGTGAGGCGTGAAATACAGTGTCTCTGAGTGAGGTGTTAAATACAGTGTCTCTGAGTGAGGTGTGAAATACAGTGTCTCTGAGTGAGGCGTGAAACACAGTGTCTCTGAGTGAGGTGTGAAATACAGTGTCTCTGAGTGAGGTGTGAAATACAGTGTCTCTGAGTGAGGTGTGAAACACAGTGTCTCTGAGTGAGGCGTGAAATACAGTGTCTCTGAGTGAGGCGTGAAATACAGTGTCTCTGAGTGAGGCGTGAAATACAGTGTCTCTGAGTGAGGCGTGAAATACAGTGTCTCTGGGTGAGGCGTGAAACACAGTGTCTCTGGGTGAGGCGTGAAACACAGTGTCTCTGAGTGAGGTGTGAAATACAGTGTCTCTGAGTGAGGCGTGAAACACAGTGTCTCTGAGTGAGGTGTGAAATACAGTGTCTCTGAGTGAGGTGTGAAATACAGTGTCTCTGAGTGAGGTGTGAAACACAGTGTCTCTGAGTGAGGTGTGAAATACAGTGTCTCTGAGTGAGGTGTGAAATACAGTGTCTCTGAGTGAGGCGTGAAATACAGTGTCTCTGAGTGAGGTGTGAAATACAGTGTCTCTGAGTGAGGCGTGAAATACA